TTATTATTATTATTACTTATGGAACTCAGGACCTTGCCCATATCAGGCAATAGCTCCACTGATACCCACACATCAGCGTCATCCTGGTTTGGGTGCTGCTCTGTATTTTGTGGAAACCTTGCCTCTTGGATGCTCCCCAAGAAGATTTGAGAGGAGGTCCACAGAAAGAGACTCATCATCAGAAAGTAGTTGGGTTTAGCAAGCATGTGTGTTGAAGGACAAACAGTGCATGCCAAACAAGGCTAACTTTTATGAGTAAGATTGCACACTTGGGAGAGTTGTAGGTGGTCAGATCTTGAGACAGCAACTTTCAGTAATGAAATTAGACCCTCACGAAGGGTGAGGTTGGGGGCTCAGGACCAGAGATGGCAACTGCAGTGAGTGGACAGCTTCTTTCTTTTCATTTCCTAGATTTTGGAGAAGTGGTCAGAGGTGACAATTAACAGGGCTTCTTTCCTCAAACTGTGAGTCAACCTCTTTATGTCATGAAAGGAGGCTTTTGAACTCATGCATATTTGGTCAGAGCAGTACGGTGGCTAATGCCCATGTAGGGAGTTTAACTACAATACAAATGCATGGACATAAAGCTTCACTGGGCTGACAGGGTGACTACAGTTTAAATTGGGGTCTGTGCCTCTAGCATCATACTGTGTAGAAATTAAGTGTGTAAGACTGACTAGGAAAGGGAATGCACAAAGTGGGTTTGATGTGCTCATCTCAGGAGGCCTGTGGAATAGAAACTCAGGAAATCTAGACCATGCCCTTTCTTAGAATTTTCTTCTATGGTCCTGCTGCCATGTCCCCATGTCCCCATGTCCACCCCTGTCTAACCAGCAACTGTATCAATATCACTGAGCTACGTGCCCAAACACATGAAGGAATGGCTCGGCACCAATAAACCTTTAGTCACAAAAATATAAAACAGGAAGGGTTTGCCTCCAAAACTGTGTTTTCCAAAACTTTACTCATTAAAACTTTTATTCTAGAATGATTTGGCTGAAGACATCTTGAAGGACAGAGTAATTCATATAGCTTGGCTCTGGCATGCCCCAGAATGACCAAGTACTGAAGGTTTGGTCCCCAGCTGAGTGCTACTGGATGGTGGTGGAGCCTTTGAAAGGTACGACCTCCTTGGAGCCAAGAAGGACACTTGCGGCTGCCCTACATGGAATTTTGGGATCCTGGCTTCTTCCTGTCTTTCTTTGTCACTCCCTGTCTGTGAGGTGAGACATACTGCACTGATGTGCTCTCTCTCCTGCCATGATGCACCACACAAGCCAACAGCAATGAGGACAGCAGGATATGGACTTGAACTTGAAAATGATGAGGTAATATAACTCTTTTCTAAATTTTTATTAACTGATGTAATGACTCAAACCTTGGAAAACACAACAATGTTTCCTTTCTATTTTATTTTCTGTAAGTATATTTTTTAAAGTACAGATAGAAAATAAAGACTTGGGAACTATAGTTAGGAACAATGAATTGTGTGTTTCCAAATAGGTAGAAATACACCACAGCTGGAAGGGAGGTTTTTAATGCTTTTGCCAGAAAGAAATGATAAATATATATGGTGTGGATATGCTGATTACCCTGATTTGATCATTAAATAATACATATGTATATCAAACTGTAACAATATAGCTCATAAAAATGCATAATTATCAAAGGTTAAATAAAAATTTAAAAAAATAAATATGGGAGAACTTGGGATGGGGAGTGTGTGGGAAAAGAAATGCTGAGGGAAGTTCAAAGCAAGGAAAAGGAAGAGGAGAAAGATATTCCTGGGGAAAGCTTACCTGTTTTGGTTTTTAAAACAGACAAAATTCAGATGGTTTCTCTAGAGTTTGTTTCCTTATTTTTTTTTGTTCTACCAGATTTATCAATAACATGAAACCAGAAAATATGTCAAATACTGTTGAACTTGTTCTCCTGGGATTGTCAGATGATCTACACCTGCAGCCCATCCTCTTTGGACCATTCCTGTCCATGTACCTGATCACAGTGCTTGGGAACCTGCTCATCATCCTGGCCATCTGCTTTGCCTCCCACCTCCACACCCCCATGTACTTCTTCCTCCCCATCCTGTCCCTGGATGACATCTGTTTCATCTCCACTACAGTCCCAAAGATGATTGTGGACATCCTAACTCACAGCAGGGTCATCTCCTATGTGAGCTGCTTGACACAAATGTCTCTTTTTATAAATTTTGGATGTATGGATGACATGCTACTAACAGTGATGGCCTACGACCGCTTTGTGGCCATCTGTCACCCTTTGAGGTACAATGTCATCATGAACCCCAAACTCTGTTGGCTGCTTGTTCTCCTTTCCTTCCTCATCAGTGTCTTTGATGGTCTGCTCCTCACCTCCATGGCACTGCAGCTGTCTTTCTGCACAAACCTGGAGATTCCTCACTTTTTCTGTGAACTTAATCATCTTCTCAAGCTTGCCTGTTCTGATATCCTCATCAATAATATCCTGGTGTATTTGGTGACAAGCCTGTTGGGTATTGTTCCTCTCTCTGGGATAATTTTCTCTTATACTCAAATTTTCTCTTCTGTCCTGAAAATTCCATCATCTGTTGGGAAGTATAAAGCCTTCTCTGTTTGTGGGTCACACCTAATAGTCATTTCCTTGTTCTATGGGACAGGTTTTGGTGT